AGGCTTCGCTTCCCGATAGTTTGGCTCTCATCTGGCAGCTACGGGCCGAAGTCGCCAAAATAGTGCCAAAGTTAGGCCTCGCTTCCGGATAGTTCGGCTGTCATCTTGCAGCTACGGTCCAAAGTCGCCAAAGTGCCAAAGTTAGGCTTCGCTTCCCGATAGTTCGGCTGTGATCTGGCAGCTACGGGCCAAAGTTGCCAAACAAGTTCCAGAACTAGGCTTACTGCCTTGAAGTTCGGCTGATGAAATATTTGATGTACGCGGAGGGTCTTCATCCTAATTAAATAGAAATCAAGTTTTACTTGGCTGGCCACTTTGTCTTATTTTGCTGACCCGACGTTTTGCGATGCGATCTAGTCGCGAAGAGGCTGAGCCAATCAACGGCGTTCGGATCGAGAGTTTTTGAGAAGCGACTTGCCAACGAAGACGTTGGACTCGCTCATCGCGCACGCCAGAGTGACCATCTAATTATTTTTTTTTTGCGATGCGATTTAGTCGCACCGCGCGACTGCTTACATCCCCGGTGAGTATGCGCCTTTACAGAAAGTGCTGCCATCGAGCTAGCGCTGCGCGAGACTGATGTGCGCACGTCTCCTTAACAGATGTTATTATTAGGTGGCACATTGCAAAAGCGAGTGTGGCTTTGTGCGTGTCTTGTATTGTGATTGAGCACTGTCAAATCCTAGCGATAACAAAGAGCGGAAACGGCCGGGGCTCCGTGGCGCCGCTCCCGCATCACACTTGGGGAATTAAAATGAAATTCCTGTACTTGTACCATTTTAGCGTATTGGTACTTTTTAAACATTTAGAAAGTGGAGACACATAAAGGGACGATATATACAGACAGGACAATCTTTCAACTTCAACAACATTTATTTTCGGCTTCAATCTCAAAGCCGTGGGTCTACGGGAAAGTGAATTCTCGGGGGAAGGAGAGGAGGCGGAGGAAGTGTACGCGATCCCCCTCTCCTGTGGGGCCAGGTACATCGGGCAAACGGGGCGATGCCTCAAAGACCGACTCCGAGAACATCAAATGGACGCCGACAGAGCTGCTTCTCAGCACCCGATCGTCATTCACTGGAGAAAATGTCCCGGCTGCGCTCCTAAATTCACCGGCACAAAAGCCATGGGAGGCCACTGCGAGTGAGTCGGGAGAGACATAATTGAGGCCTATCGGATGGCGACAAGTCCGCAAAACATAAGCACCTCTTCCATTTCCCTCTCAAGAATGGAGATTATCTTTCTGAGGCCCACAATGGAAGCCGAACGCTGACAGACTAGGCAAGGCGACAAGGGCACTGGCAGAAGCGGCCTTTCCTTTCATTCCGTTCCATTTCATTCCAGAGAAGGGCTGGAATTCCCCCGTCCCTTATTTCCCTACTGTTAAACAGGTCGGGATACACTCTCTGCCCTGTAGCTTTAACTGTACCGCAGATTTTTTTTTTTTTATGAGTTACTTTTGTGCTGTTTATTTTTTTTTTTTTTTGTTTACTTTGAAGTGTCCAAAATGCAGAGGGAGCTTATGGTGAATTTCACTCGTAGATCTGGAGCGCTTTCCAAAATCCGTGAGGGAGGCGAAATTCCGCTCCGTGGGACCCGTACCGAATCGACGAGGGGAAGATAAACTTCCATTTTTGGAGCGACCTCCCTCACACCCCTCTCCACCCCTTCTCCCTCCGCCGTACAAAATGGCCGCTGCTCGAACTTGAGCAGCCCACCAACGCCTCAGCCGGCTGATCGTTCCGACGACCAGTGACGACTGTCACTGCTTAGCTGCAGAAGTAACACGCGACACAGGCCGGGCGAAATTATACCTACCACGGCGCCCATGTCACAAATAACGACGACGTCCGCGTTCGGCACCGTCACATACCTTTCGGCCGCCTCGAAGCGGCGGGGCACGGACAGCGATCGCCAGCGGTGGAGTTCAGATTTGTAGTACGACTTTAATAAACACAGAGGTAACAAACCATCACTTGCGCGGTCGTTGCCTAACCACTTCTTGCTTTATTTCACGGGAAAACGCCGACGAAATGCAGTGTAAAAAGGTAAACAATCACTGGCTGCAGAATGAATAGGCCTAACCTTGCGTCTGTCTCCGGCTTTTCTGTCGTTCTTCCTCTCACGATCACAGACGTCAGCGCTTACGATTTGCCACGCTCCACATTCCTGGCATTTTATCCCTGATCTACGCGAGGTAGAAGCCTTCGAGCCGTCACAATACAGAGTAAACAACCGACGCACCCGAGCAGATCCAACTTGACGACCCGACCGTGGCCCGACCGGCCCGCCGATCTCTCCGACCTCGCCGCGCATGCGCACCGCCGATTTAGACGGAAATCACGTGGGCCGCTCTGTCAAATTCCGGAGAGATCTGTGAAATCCCGCAGAGCAAGTTCGGCGGAGTTTGGGGCGCTCCGTGGAGCGGGCGATGCCAGAGATCTACGAGCGGAAGATGACCAACTTGAGCCAAATCTGCGAGCGGAATATGCGCGCTCCAAATGTAGCGCTTTTGGAGCGCTCGAGATCTGCGAGCGGAATTCACCATTAGTTGCGTTGTTGATGCCCCTTCGACCTCGCCTTTTGCAAATCCTCCCCACCTGCTTTTTTGTCTTCGTGTGGCTGTCAGCGAAAGCGACACCCGCTTGAAGCAAATCAAAACGGTGGAGCGAAACGCGTGACCTCTCTATGTAGGACGCGTAGGACAAAAACGTTTGGACGAAAATTTGTCACGTGACTCTCTCTGTCACGCTGATGGGATCTCTGGGGCTGTTGTTTTCGCCGTTTGCCTAGTTATACAAATAGGCGGGCCACGTACACTCTAAGAAAAAGTGAGCACCCCCCCTCGTCATCGTGCGTTTTGACGGCTGTAACTACCCCACAGGCTTACTTAACTACCCACTGGGCTCGAGCCATTGAGAGTGAGCACCCTGTTGGCAGGTGACAAGCACGGGGGTAGTCACGTTTTATAAACTCTTGAATTGAACATTCCAGTGCATGCAGTCGTTCAATAGTAAAACTCACTTCAAAAATCTCAAAAAGTACTTGAAACTTGTTTTCTTTGTGCGTTGGTTATCATTTATTGAAATTTAAACCGGTCGAAACAAGCGTGTGGCTCAGTTCGCCTAAACTGGCAGAAAACAAACAAGTACAGGCAACCTTGGTAGGCACCTGCTAAAACCCGAGGCAGATAAAAAGTATCGCGGTTGTCCTTTTTGGTTCCGTCGCGGGTTTTACCATGTACAGCAGTAAACAGCTGGTAGCTGGCGTCGTGCTCGAGGAATTTAACCAAATCTCTCGAAAAGCACAGGAAGCTACGCACAGGCGTGAGTTGACTTGAATGTTCGCCGGACGAGATACTCTCGTCGTCTTTTATTGTGCGGTTCAGTAAAGAGCGTGCTCTCAATAAAGGTGTGATCGGTCAGTTCTGCGTGCAGATCAGTTGCAACTGGCCTCCTCGGTTCCGCCGAACTTGCGCGCCTGTCGCACCCAATTATTTTGCTTTCAAGTGCAGTGAAGTATGAAGCATTGAACACCACGACTGAGGCCGGACAGGACGAACGTACACAGATATCCGGGATCATGTCCGTGTATTTCACTATTTTTCTGTCTCGAGGTACAGGATTCGCCTTCTCTGGTTCATTTGGCACATTTCATCGAGCATACTCGATAAAAAAATGCTTCAAACAAGGCCGGTTCAGACACTAGCGTTTGACAGCGTTGCGTCGAGAACCGAAAGCCACTCACCGGCACGTCTGTGCTTCGTATCAAGCGTGGAATCCAATTCAAGGAATCATCTTGGCACGCGATATAAGCAGCAGGGATGTCCTGATTTCTTGCTGCCGCAACGCAGTCAGACGCACGCAGTCAAACATTACTGTCTCAACCAGGATTTAGATAATTTAGCATACGTATTTCGCGTTCGTTGCAGGTGAAGGCACGGGCCCGAAAGCAGCAATTCTGCACTGTCCCCTTGGCGCGAGCGCGAGCGCATAGAACGGATATTTAGCGAAAAGAAGAAAACTGAAATAACGCTTCGGGGAGGACCGGCGGACGGGCTTCGCTAAAATCACCTGCGCGTGCTCAGTGTACTCAACGTGTACCCAACCGCCGCTAAAGTCAGTCTAGATATGTAAAAAGAGAAAAGAAAATGCATCAGTGTGTTCAGAAAGTTGTGATTGCAGAAATTGGTTTCGATAATTAATACAATTAATTAAACAGGCTTCTGTATACTTGAAGTGTAGGCAAGCGAGAAAACGAAACTGTTCAAAATGTGACGTGTAGCAACTATTCAAATTTATTTATAACCTGCAGTTCACTTTTGCAATGGTTCTACATTAGAGATACGAGCGCTTTCCTAAGGGCAGTAGAGGAAAAGAATATATACGGCTAAATCTTGCACAGTCTTTTCGTATTTATGGAAAATATGACAGTGGTCACCATCCTAATCGGTCACATAAAATACAGCAGTATATAAGCTGGTGGTGTCGACTAGACGTGTGTATAGGAATGTAGAATGTCAATATGTGATGTTGTATCTTGTGCTGTTTCTGAATGCGTTGATGTATTAAATGCTGTGATGTCTGTATGTCGCGTATGAGTGAAGTGTGGCGTGGGATATGTACATACGGCATTGTCTGGCGAGGCGCTGAAAGCAAGAATTGCTGGTTTCTTTTTTTCTTTAGTTTGAGCGCTGTCCGTTAGGTGGCGCGTGTCGCCGCCCAATTCAAGGAGTCGCGCGTTTATGTGTCTACTTATTTGAGTGAAAAACATGGAGGCCTTCCGCTTCTCGCGGCGTTCCATGGCTCCACGTAGCAGCCACAAAGGGTTCGGTCTGGTTCGGTTCTCGGCCTCTCGTCCAAATGGGATCAGTCCCATAGCCAGTTGAATGGGTGTTCCGTGCGGTGAATAGCGCCAAGTGCGTGCACAGACGCGGTGAGGATTACCAGGCGAGCGCCTATCCAGAGACCTTGCCCGTGCCTAGATCTGGGGACAAGGCCAGCGTAGGGAAAAAAAGCTCGTAGGGAGTCCGTTCGCGTGGTCGTGATGATGATGATAACCATGTCATATAACACCTGAGACTGGAGTGAAAGAAATTGGAAACGGTTTGGTAGAAGGAACAGACACAGAAAGGGACGTCTCAAACTCAGTTAACTGGTTTATTTCTCGACCATCCTATATCATGATAGCTTCACCGCCCACTAGCGCCACCCCGGCCTCGCCGCCTCGCGCCTCGCTGTGTTCGTTCAAGTTTCAACGGTTCTCAGTTTGAAATTTGGATTGTTAGTGGTTGCCCCGTCGCTTTTGTGTATGCTAGCTGTACGCCTTATAATTTCGTACAACCGCCGTCCTTATTTTTCTTGTGCTCGCATAACCGCGTCGCGTGGCTTAATTCAGGTGCAGTGCGCTGCCGTGAACGCGATAACCTAAATTTTAAGAAGTTAGGTCTATTCGTATTCGTCTTTCCTTGCTATGGCCGAACCCGCGGAACCTGGAGGAAGCGGTGGTGTTTCTTCCAAGACCGACCCAGATAAGTACAAGTGCAGGATTTGTGACAAGTGTTTCAAGAAAATCTACAACTTAAAGAGGCACTTAAAGGAGGTCCACGGGGAATCTGACGCGAGCTGGGTCACACTTCCCTTTGACAGTTACAGCTTTGCATGTGATCTGTGTCCAACAGCTTCTTTTGCGTTCCATGGGGGCTTGCTGCACCACTTTGAAGCGAAACACGGGTTCGTCGCGAGGCATGAGAAGTTAGAGTTCAATTCGTTAAAAGGTCAGTGGCGCTCGCTTTTCTGGATATGTTGTCGTATTGGAAATTAATCAAAAGTGTATTGGTGGGCCAGTGTGATCATATCGAAAACATTTCGAAAAAAGGATAAGAACAGAGACGTAACAAGCGTTACTATCGAGTATCGACTGACTGATGTACGAAAAGAAAGTCGCTTTGTTAAATTTTTATATTTCCTTTTTTCGTCTAGGAGGTTTGTTACTCTTTCTAGAATCTAGAGCATAAAAATGCAACTTTGCCTTTCTTTGAATCTCAAAATGCCCCACTCTTTTCGATAGTAACGCTTGTCCTGTCCCTTTCTCGTCTTTTTTGCGAATTGTTTACGAGATGCTTAAGAGTTGCCGCGCAGTGCGAGTTTATTCTTTAGTTCCCCTTTGAAAAGTGGTTTCAAAATTGAAGCTTGTGACATCGTATACAGAGCTCTTTCGTTGTGTTGGTGCATGGTCCTCAAAATGCTCGCACACCGAATGCACTGATCAAATCTATGCGTGCTCAGCATGCTCCTGGAAAGGTGGCAATGAGTTCATTGCACGATGTTTCATCGACAGCTCAGAGTAACCTTTAGCCTTTCTTTACTCTTTATTTATTTTGCTCTGGAGAGCTGCGGAAAGGCAGCAGCCCGTACCATGGAGGCCTGCGGTGCCGCGTCTAGTGAACAGGAAAATGTGATGAGTATATGCATGCATGATGTTGACGACATGGATTGTTGGCATTGGGGAGGATGGCAGTCCGATTCGCAGAAGTCCAGATTTCGTCGAGGTGGGTTGGGCGGGTCAGCAGCGAGCTATGGGGATCTGGCAGTCGTTCCATCGGTGCATAAAGGAGCCCCAGGTACATGATGGCGCTGTTACTCACTGGGGTCCACTGGAGTCGAAGCATCGGGTTCGAAGAAGGTAGCCCAGTCAAAGTAGAAGCTGCCGCCTCTAAAGAATCGAGGCCCAGGGCTCAGATTGAGGCACCGCCGTTGCCCGGTGTGTCATCCCCTCAATGTCGTCGAGAGGATGACATACCTTTTATTTGTAATAAGCTGCATGAGAATGTCGCCGTGACAGTCTCGTGCAGCGTCTGTCAGGTGGGTTAACATTTTTTGTAATAAGACGCCGCAGACTGTCGCTGCGAAGCGGCGTAAACACAAACAGGTGGGTGGGTTGATGCGCACCCTAGTGATGCACCCTAGACGAAATGTCCATAAAGCGTGCAATTCGCATAACGAGCATCTATGAAACGATCGTATCGACGAAACGTGTATCCCTGAAAAGTTGTCCACGAAACATAATTCCACGAAGCGAGTTTCGACAAAATTATAAAAAAAACTCTCACGGAGTGGCATGCGCTGCGTAGCCGAAAGCCTATATTTGACGTCATAAATGGTGAATGGGAAACATGGATTTCTTATGTTTGCCAATATTTTTGCACCATATAATTGTCATATTTGGATTCACGTAAGAATTCACCTCCAACTATATTTTTAAGAACCACTTCAGCTTTCTCTAAGGCATGTTACTTTACTAACATGACTTTCAGATCAGGACATCAACAGGATCGCCTCCTAAAGTAGAGCTGTGCTTGGGAATAGCCATGCTTCCACCATACATACCTTATAACATCCTGGAGAAGGATGTTACCACATGCAAATGATTTAGCACCAAGTCATTTGTGTGGTAACATACTTCCTCGTTACATTACAATATGGTAGGTCGAGAAAGAGTTGAATCAACGTCTGAGCCCTTTCTAAGACAAAATGAAATGTAAATTTTTATTCCTTAAGGTAGCGCTTGTTCTCGTGCACTGGCGCTAAAGCTTGCGGTTAGTACAAAAGCTTAAGCACAAACCTGGCACACCTAATTTTAGCGGCTTTCGCCGTTGCCGCAGGTATGTATGATGGAAGGACGGCTATCTGAGGTGTGGACCAGAGGGGTCATAGCGTTACCCTTATACTCATGCTACAGCTAAGTCTGATTAGGGTGTATATTTGGTGAAATAGGAAGCATGTTTTGAAGCAGGGAAGTATGTGATGTAACTGATGTACTACTCTTCATTCAGGCCATTTCCTTTTAAGCTTTCTTTCTTCTCTGCCTGCCAGAATTCAGTGACTGGAGGGAGGCTGAAGAAGGCAGAGAGCATGCTCACTTCGTTCTCCGCAACGGACCCAAAAAACGACCAGGTAATGTCCTGAAGAGGTATTACTACTGCCACCGCTCTGGATCGTTTCAGAGCACGAGCCAAGGTAAAAGACAACTGAAAACCCAGGGCAGTTGTAAGACTAATGTGGAATGCTTGGCCACAATTCGAGTAACAGAGAAAGATGGCAAGGTGACAGTAGAGTACCAGGCAGAACATTACGGCCACCCGAAGGAACTGAAGCACCAGCGCCTCTCAATGACTGAGAAGGAGGCTTTAGCTGATAAACTAAAGCAAGGCATTCCCGCCCGTAAAGTTCTGGTAGATGCACGTTCTTCCGCTGGCAGTGAGATGGGCAGGCTTCATTTGCTCTCAATGAAAGACATTGGCAACATCTCCGTCAAGCATGAAATTCTGACGAAAGAGCGACGGCACAAGAATCAGTTTAAAAGTGTCTATGGGCAGGCTTCATTTGCTCTCAATGAAAGACATTGGCAACATCTCCGTCAAGCATGAAATTCTGACGAAAGAGCGACGGCACAAGAATCAGTTTAAAAGTGTGTCAATGTGGGGGGAGGAACTGAACGAACAGTCAGATTCCCCAGTGCTATACTTTGATATGGAGGAAGGAAATGAAAAAGAGACCTTTGAGCTTGCCCTGATGACTGTCCCTCAGAAAGAACTCCTCACAAAGCTGGGCCCCAAGTTCTTGTGCATTGACTCCACTCATAATACAAATGGCCACAATCTGCAACTGACGACTCTCATGACAGTCGCAGAAGATCAATCAGGCATGCCATGTGCATATTTGATCTAAAAAAAACTAGACACCGAGACTATGAAACGCTTCTTTAAAGCCATAAAGGAAAAAATTGGCAACCTCGAATGCGAAGCATTCATGTCTGATGATGCTGCCGCTTATGGTAATGCATGGGAGGAAGTGATGGGCCCTGCCCAACACCGGATGCTTTGCTCCTGGCACGTAAACCGCAACTGGACTCAGAAGTTGCAGTTAGTCCAAGATAAGCAAACCCGTGACCGTCTTCGCGACGAGTTGTGGGCGCTGAGAAATTGCAAAGATGAGGCTAAATTCCAAGAAGGTCTGACAGGCTATCTCTGTCAGAAACTAAGTGAAGAGGCTGATCCGAAACTAATTCAACAAGTACAGGAGTTTCTTCAGTACTTTGAGCGCTACTATGGTGGCAGAGCACAGTGGGCACTCTGCTTCAGAAAGGGCATTCCTTTTAATACTAACAAGCACTTGGAGGCAATGCACAAGGACCTGAAGTCACACTACATGCATGGAACCCACAACCAGAGGCTCGACAAGCTGTTGATGATCCTCTTCGAACTGACCCGTGACCGCCTCTACAAGCGTCTCAAGTCGCTCGTAAAAGGAAAAACAAATCGGCATGATGCAGCCCTTTTTCGGAGGCACCAGGAGGGGATCAAAATTCCTGCATCAGATGTAGAACAGCTGCAAAATGGCAATGGCTGGCTTGTAAAGTCCCAGTCCCAGGCAGAGAGAAGCTACCATGTTGAAAAGGGCGATCCCTGCTAGAGTTGCGTGCTTCGCTGCAAGGACTGTGACATCTGTATCGACAGTTACAAGTGCACTTGCAATGACAGCCTGATTTCAGCGTCAATGTGCAAGCACATTCACGCAGTAGCTTACCTGGGGCTTCATGCGACGACCGTGGAGGAGGTTGACACCGAGCCAGATGTAGAAATGCCATCAACTACACGTGAAGCAACAGGCTTTACGTTGGATGATGAGCCACAGACTCTCTTGGATGATATTCGGCAGAGTATTGAGGTAGGGATGCAGAAGACTCAACCAAATTCAGGGGACGAGATACGTTTAGCACTGAGTGGACTGAATGAGTCCTTCTCCAGAAAGGAATTGCCAAGCTCTTCAAGCTCCTTGGTGTTGAAATACTTTACCAAGGCCCAAAAATTACTTGACTCTGCTCCAGATAAGACTTCTCCTCCAGATGAGACTTCTTTAAAACCTAGGGTAATCCCGCACAACAAAAAGATGGAGAAACAAGCACGGTACTTTCCCACCAAAAAGAAACGCCCTGGTTCTGGTCCCATGCACGGCAAACCTCCCACCAGATTGGAGCAGCAGCACATCATGGAGGGCCTTGTAGCCAGACAAGTTCCTACAGGGAGAGCAGCATCCGCTCAGCTCCCTGTGGATGTTCCGAGCATGTCTGTGCTGGCCCTCAAGGACCATGACTACTTTGCTTATCAGTAGTCGTGACAATTGGACTACAAAAAAGGGGCAGTGTTCCTCTTGCTAAAAGGGATGGTGTGTTTGACAGCTTGGATTTCTGTCCCCCTTGGAAAATGTCAAGAGATGCTCGAGCTAAAGGCAAGAGGGGCATCTCTTACCATCTTCCAACAGGTTAGGTTCGGTGAGGTATTATACGCTGACCTTAACTGTAACACTCTTTTAACAACCAGGGATTGGCAATTTTATTTCGGTTTATGCGGAACGGTTGTCTTTAAATTAAGGGGTAACCATAGCGCCTCGAAATGTTCGTTCGTAAGCGTCCCCCTCGCTGAAACCAGCACTTTTCTTAATTTTAAATATTGCTGCACAAGAACTTGCAGCTTTTTCTGCTTTGGAGAATGTCAAGAGGTGCTCGAGCTAAAGGCAAGAGGGGCATCCCTTGCCATTCTCCAACAGTCGGCTTCTGTCATAGGCTGACGTTAATCGTAACAGTGTTTTATTTTCAAATTCTGGAAAGGTTTTCTATTTAATTTAACCTGCTATCATAGTGCCTCGACACACCCATTAATTCAGTGTCCCCCTTGCTGCAACCGGTGATCTTTTATTTTAAATATTGCTGCACAAGAATGTGCAGCTCTTTCCGCCTTGGAGAATGTCAAGAGGTGCTCGAGCTAAAGGCAAGAGGGGCATCCCTTGCCATTCTTCAACAGGTGGCTTATGCTATCAGCTGACCTTAATTGGAAAAGTGTTTTAACAGCAAGAGCTTGCAATTTAATTTCAAATTTATGCTCACAACCATAATACCTTGAATTGCCTGTTACATGGTTATTTTTTATTTTGCATATTATTGCACGGGAATGTAAAAGTTGCAGTTCCCGCGATGTGCCAACTTCTTTTTAGTATGCGACCCATATGCTTTAGGATATAATGGTTTTCTTGCTAATAAGTGCCTGTAATCACTGTTTAATTTTTTTGTGAGCCAAGAGGGAGTGACCACTGGCAACCACAAGCATAAGGATCTGCCACAGGAAGCATAATCATGTAAGTCATCATTGTGTGCATGGGATAGTTCTTAACACATTAGATGAAATCCAATTGCCTGCATTTTAAGAAGTGGTAACTGAGAGGGGAGTAAAAGTACAGGAAATCTGGTCAATTGCAGACATAACGAAAACCTGAAACACCGGAAGGGAAAAGGACATGAAAAAGAGGACGACACACACAGAACGTCTTGAACACTGCTGAAGGTTTATTCTAAACCCACACCCTTTTACACCGGTACACCGCAGTCAACGCCAAGAACCCTCGCACCAAGTCACACCTCCAGACTGTCAGCAAGGGTAAACATAAGAAGAAATGCCCTCGATGCTTCCACATGTGCCAAAGTCAACAAACTGACAAAAAAGGAGAAACGTTTGTACTTGCTTGTTAATCACTATCATCGAGACACACAATTTCCAGCAGAACCAATACTAAGAGTTTCTTTTACTACGCATTTAAAGTGATCTCTCTCTCGGCTTATCACCGTGGTGGCCAGTCACAGTGGTGGACAATTGTTGCAAACTTGTAAATGTTCTACAGTTTCTGAACTTGGGGACTGCAGGAGAGCACACTTTTTGGTGCTCCATGATTTTCTCATTAACATAACATCCAGTTTGACCTATGTATCAGAACTTATATGCCAAAGGAATATTATAAGCATCACCATCTTGACATCCACAGGCAAGATTCCTATGCGTTTACCCGCAACCTTTTCTACCTCCTGTGAAAGGAGTCAACCTACTTAATCTGAAGTCTTCAGAAGCACATTATCATGGCCGCTCTTGTCGTCATCTGAGGCCGCCTTGTCTTCAAGAGCAATGTGAGACTAACTTTGGGAGACACATTCGAGGTCTTCAGCATCGCTGCTGTCTGAACTGCTGCAAGAAACTGTTCTTTTACATCACCGCCACCAGCATTCCTTATGCATGCCACCATTTTTAAATTACCGTTTTGAGGCTAAACATATTGCAAAGGTGCAAAACACTTTTTTTTTTTTTTCTGGACTTCTACCTAGTAATGCAAAACTATCAATAGTACTATCGATAGTTGCCAGAAATCTGACTATCGAAAGTAAAAAAACTATCGATAGTAGACTATCGAAAAACTATCGATAGTACTACCAATAGTCGACTATCGATGGTACTGTCGACGATTTACTATCGATAGTTTTGCGACACTAGTAGTTTGCGTCGCTCCCTCTTTTTATCGCTTTATTTATTTATTTATTTATTTTTTTTTTTTTTTCAAGTGGGACACTCACTAGCCCAGGCACTTACCATCCCAACTTTCGTTCAGCTTTCAGTGATGCGGAAGACGGGAGTTTGGGCGTTTGGGCGAGGACAGGAGAAGGGAAGGCGAGCGGTAGGGCGAGGGTAAGACGGGCCGGGGAGGATGAAGCGGACGGAACGCTGGAGAAGAGATGGGGAAATCTGCTTCTCTCTTTAGCGTTCCGTCTGCTTCTCCTCCCTGGCCCGTCTAACCCTCGCCCTACCTTCTTGAGTTGTAACGGACTATAGTGATGCAAAACTGTCGATAGCACTATCGATAGTGGCCAGAAATCTGACTATCGGTAATAAAAACTATTGATAGTCGACTATCGGAAAACTATCGTCTATCGGAAAACTATCGATAGTCGACTATCGTAAACCTATCGATGGTACTGTCGACGATTTACTATCAATAGCTTTGCGACACCAGTAGTATGCGTCGCTCCCTCTTCTCTTTTTATTGCTTTATTTTTATTTTTTTTTTTCAAGTGGGACACCAACTAGTTTATGCACTTACCAGCCCAGCTTTCGTTCAGCTTTCAGTGATGAGGAAGACGGGAGTTTGGGGGTTTGGGCGAGGGCAGGAGAAGCGGAGGCGAGCGGTAGAGGGGCCGGGGAGGAGGAAGCAGACGGAACGCTGGAGAAGAGATGGGGAAACCTCCCTCTCTCTTTGGCGTTCCGTCTGCTTTCCCCTCCCCAGCCCATCTTACCCTCGCCCTACCTTCTTGAGTTGTAACGGACTATAGTGGTGAAAAACTATCGATAGTATTGTTAGTCGCCAATATAGTAAAAAAACTATCGATAGTATGATCGATAGTCGACTATTGGAAAACTATCTATCGATAGTCGACTATCAATAGTTCTCAGACACTATCAATAGTTTTGGAAACACTATCGATAGTATCGATAGTCAATTTATCGATAGTTTTGCATCACTACTTCTACCGCCTCCTTGTGTTAAAAATAGAAACCGAAACCAATTTTTCACCGTAACTTGTCTTTGGCACAGAGAGCGGCACAGCATGAGGGTGGACAAGTGTGACTTGTCATTGGTGATATTTGTGGAAACTCTAATGACGAGCACAGCTCGGAGCTGGGGGTTAAATGGTTAAAGTACACTGATGTAATTTAGCACACAGGTGGAATAAAAATGAGACGTGGCCTGTCCCTTTTTTTCTATCTCCTAATTTTTTTTTCCTTTTTTGAATACAGTCCCAGGTTTCAACCACCAGCTCGCCTGCACTTTAACCATTTCTTTTCAATAACATGGGCCATTTTTAGCTATATTATTAAGCAGAGCTCACCTTAGTAAAAAAAAAAAAAGAAGAAAAAAAAATTACATTTTAGGCCACTGTCTATTTTGGCAAAGGGAAGCAGATAATACATAAACCAAGTTTACTTCCATCCTGTTGCGTTCGTTTTTCAGTCGTAATAAACGCCACGGTGGCCCAAAATGCCGTTGATGATATGGCGCAAAAAAGGAGCGGGAATTTACCCATAAAAAGTGTTGTTTCCTTAAAGGGGCACTGAAGCCATCTTTGGAAACGGTCGTTTTTGATCTTACATTGTTTAAAAGGTGTTCAATTCCTCATACACAAAGTCCCATATTACAAAACTGCCTATTCATCTCAGGACAATAGAAAAACATGTGGGCTCTTTTTTCTTGCAGACTACATAGTGTGGCCCAACGATGGCCCAATGATAGCCCAAGAATACGCGCAGATTCCAAATGATTTCATTCTAACTCGTTTCGAAGAGAGTCTGACGGGTACACATTCAGATAAGACTCCTCTTGTTCAGCGTGGGCGAAGCCATTGCTTGCAGCTCGCCGGCAAGCGCCCTTTGTCGACCACTTCACTCGGAAGAAAATTCTTCTCAAAAAGGGCGTGTCGCAATCTTTGAACATGCTTTTGACGAGTAAATAAGCTACGCATGATTGCGATTTCGGGTTTGTTGAGATGCTTAGAGCGTCTAGATTGAATTGTCGCCACAAAAGGACAATCTCAGAATCGACTTCAGTGCCCCTATAATTGAGGGGGCTCGTACTTCTAAATAATTAATGAGCCATCTAGATCACTTCTGTAGTAAATCGTAGCACGATAGGTCAAGATAGCAATTTATGCAGTTCCTACAAAGGGTTATTCCGCATTGATACTCGTGCTGCAGTTTTACACATCAAGAGACTTGTATGACTGAATCATGCCAGCTGTAAACTAGCTCGTTGAAATTGCCACATAAAAGGTGACATGAGCCATCGACTTTAGTGGCACCAACTTTCTGTTGGAGCACCAATTAGGATTGTCGAAAGCAACGCAGTCTGCTTGTACAACGCCATCAACGCAGTTTGTCTGTACCGCTGACGTTCAAGGTCTGGTAGCTGGCCCAAATTGTCAAGCATCACATACGAGGTTCATTGGCACCAAGTGTCACAACAAAAGTTCACGCACGTTATGCAGCCTCACCAACAAGCATACACCACATACTGCAACGGCAAAAACACAGAGCTCGGCCGCTTCTGTCCACACACCCTCTGCGTATGTGTGGGTAAAGCGCCAATTTGGTAAACTGCACGTTGGTGTATACACTCCACCAATTTGTAATTTATGTGCTGAAGATTTCTACAGAACTTAAGGGGGGGACACTGGCTAGAGATTGAACTTCTGAACTATTCAAGTGATCAGAATGAAATTCGCAGAGGAGATTCAACATCAGGTGTAGGTGTACTGTGCAAACGTTCAGCTCTCTAGGACAAATTTACATACCTGCATGAGGTGATGTGTCATTCTACATTGAGAAATCTATGATATGTAGGGTTGTTCGTTTTCGGGTTTTGTATTTTTTTAAATTCGAGGGGTGACAATCGGGTGCTAATTTTCAAGCTGATAATCGGGGAGAAATCTGGTTTTTTGGGGACACATTTCGAAATTCTGGTTTTTTTTTTGGGTTAAATTTACAAATGTAATCAAAATTATTATTATTATTTTTTTATTTTTTTTGTGGAGAGTTTTACAAGCTTTTTAACGCCAACGCGTTAACATTAGGGGTCTGTTTCAAGCTTGTAATCGGGGGGACATCAGGGTTTTCCAGCTCCGATTGCCGTCAGTCGCTTCAATGGAAGCATTGCCCATGGAATCCTTTTTTCCCTTAGGTGTCAACAAAACCTCGACCGTTGTGAGGCGGAACACAAGGATTCCTACTTGAAAATGCTCACTTTTTTTCATTAAAACGGCTTCACGCATGAAGGCCGACTGTCCCTGCCACCGTTTCCGCACCGCCGCTGTCCCCACTCCTCGGGTGCTCTGTTCGTACGTGAGAGGGCGAGCGGCAGGCTGCAGTTGCAAATAAATGAACCCACAATTACGTTTCTGCAGAGAAAAAATGAGGGTCACAAAATATCATTTACATAGAGGCGGAGAGTCGCATTCACGCACTCTATCGGAGCAGGCACATTTGAAATTAAAGAACTAAAACAAGAACATTTGGAGCAGACTTAATTTTTAGAAACAATCTTACTTGGAAAGTTTAATAATGTTAATTTGTCACAAGACACTTTTTGTTCCAAGAAATGCTAAACAGGCCTGGATTGGCTGCGAAATTTGGGAGCCTGTGCCTTAAGAAATAATTTTCTTTGTTTCTAAAAAGTATTAGTCTTCTCCTAATGTTATTGTTTTAGTTATTTAATTTCAAAGATGCCTGCTGCAATAGTGCGCATGAATGCAACTGTCCACCGTTATGCAAGTACAATTTTTTATGCCTCCAGATTTTTTTTTTCTGGTGAAAAATATGCGCTTTTATTTATACCGAACATTAGGCAAGCAGATCTAAAAATGTCAGTAGACTTTAAAATGTTGACAGCCACCCTTTCGTCAGTCCTATCTGAAATCATCCAAAATTGCCCCAAACTGCACCAAAATATCCCCAGAAAATTTGTTTTTAATTTCTTTTTTCTATATAGCAGTTTCTGCAGCGACACATGTTCTGCTAATTTTCACAGATCCAATATTTTTTTTTTGTCTCCATAGGTTGTTTTAAAATGTAGAGTTTTCTGCTCTTAAGCTGCTCCAAAATGTACATGTTCTGCTCCTGAGCAGCTCCAAAAAATGTTACAGAATTTGTTTTAACTGTCCCACCCAGTCTTGGGCAGTAGCTATACTCCGTTTACCTTCAGGTGGACCGCAGCGGACGCTACGAGCCAGCACAACCGATTCTCCCGCTGAGAGAGTGTTGGGTGACCTTCGGGTGTGGTGCGGCAATGCGCAATGTCACGTGACACTCTGGCCGGGCGCGATCAGCTGGGATGACTTCTTGCGTCAGCCGCGGTCCATCTTATTGCGAAATAGAGTAAAGTTACTATTAATGCATTACCGGACAGTTGTTACTTTTCCCAATAGCTTTGAACTGTAGCGCGTTACTCTTTATTAGCGGTAATTTGTAACTGTAACACTTACTTTTCTATTTGGTAACTGTAACTTTTAAAGCAATGAATGGTCTTTAAAGGCGAGTTCCATGTTCTTCAAATCCGAAAAGGGGGGGGGGGGGTTTGCTGTTCAATTCTTTTTCTCACAAATTTGATGTTATTCATTGTCTATTTTTTGCTGTTGGTCGGAATGCGTGTAGGGTTTCTCAGGGCTTTATGTCGAAGGAGTGACTGCATATCTATGGCGTTTCTAGAAGACCCATTTAGTGCTAAATAGCACATGTAGAAACACTTTCTAAAGGAGGAAGCAGCATTGCAAAGTTAGCGTAGTTTGTGTTCAAGGGAACACAACATAAAGATGTCAAAACAGGTCCTTTGCCGTAAAACCAGTGTTTTTCTTGTTCAAAGAAAATCTCAATTTCTTCTTTATTTAACCGATTTTGAGAAACACTTTTTAAGGGTTACTTCTCAGTGTTTATCGTCGTACTGAAAACATGGAACTCTACCTATAGTACATTGCTTTGAAAGAGCCTTTTCACCCACCCAAGGGTATTGCTGTTTTGGTGCCTGCCACCTGAGCCTTTTTTTTCCTTAACATTCATCATAAGTTAATTCTCCTAACCCTCAAAGAGGTAAGCACCTTCAATCAGTCGAAAATACCAAAGTATGACAGTTGAGCAGCAGGTAAAGAGTGATGAACATTGCTCAGTTTTCAGGGGCAAAATCTAAACATTTTTATTAGGTTTTCATTTGGCTGCCTTTGCAACTAAAAGCTTTTCAACCTCACCGTGATCTTGTGTTAAACAATGAAGCTATTTGTGCTGGACTGGACCCAGTGAAGTATACGTAATTGAATAGAGCTGGAACCGTTGGAACGGTAAGGTCAAAGTTCTGCGTAATTCACCTCACTGGCCATTGTAAGAAAATGTAGCACCCGCTGGTAGATTCTGTGACCTTTTGCTACAGCAATTATTGGTTATGTGCAGATACCTGGACCTCGAGACTGGTGACCTTGAAAGATGTCAGCAAGGATACACGGTGATTTCTTCACCGCGGGGCTGTGCAATTTACTGGCATGGATCTAGTGTCTCACCTCGGAGATCTCCATGGTGTGTAAAAAGTGCCAAGGCTGGTGGGGCAAGAAGTTTATTAGAAGGCTTTGTCATGCCACGGTGATGAACATTCATGACAGGCCCTTCTGCCGAACCAGCTACGCAATAGAGGCAAGCCTGCTATGCCACTGGGACATGGATGCAGTGCACTAGTCTGCGTGTGGCACTGTGGACTCCTGGGGACCAAGCCAGGAGATGGACGTGCAATATTTATATTCCGCGTATATTTAGTCAACCAATTTTACTGTTGACATTGACTGTTGACAAGTGGGACATTCTGTTCGTGTGGCAAAAGATATGCCAGGTATGTGGTGGGGTCCCACAAAAAATAGCTATGTTCTGTCTGGAGCAATGTTCATAGAGACATGGCAAGTTGTGTCAGTGATGGTCGCAGTTTGGGGCATGTTTTGGGTGGCTGCGTGATGGGGTGCTGTGACCGTTGCTGGACAACTGTTTCATTGAGTCACTGTGACAGTGTTTTCACTAGCTTGGGAGGCAGCATGGTAATGCATAAACACAGTGACAGATTTTACTTCGAACTAAAAATGGTGTAAAAGAATAAAACAACTTGCTGCCTCATCGAGGCATGTCTTCAAATGTGAACTAATATGTTGTCTTTTCAGTACCACCTTTTCCATTTTGTTTCATTGAAACCTCGCAGTGAGAGTGACTGAGATAATACAGTCATGTCTTGGCATTATGAATGCCTCCGAGTTTTCTATAATGAATCAAGATCAGAGACAATTCTTGGTTATGAAGTGCAAAAACAAAAAAAAAAACCGTTTGTTTAGCTTAAAAAATTGGGATGAAAGTTTGAATTAGCACTTTTGAGCCTCTTTGTGTCCAGAAGGCAGAACACGTCAGGCTGGCTTTTGCATTGCTCATCCATATGTCGGATTCTTCTAAAATTTCGTGCATCGTCGGTTTACCGACATCAATGCCAAGGTTCTGGCTCTGCACTCCCGTATATTGCAAAAGTTCTGAGGATGTCTCGCTCTTGAATTTGCAACCCCCTTTTTTTTTTTTTCAGCAGGGCTCGTTAAGGGCTAGTTTCCCCAGTATCTTGTCCATCAGCAAACAAATGATGACAGCTGCCACCATCTATGAGCGACGGCGGCAACCAGCCAACTGGTTTGCCAATTGTCTGGTTGCCACCATCCCTCATAGATGGTGCAGCCTTTCCACCTTGCCGACTTGCAGCCGGCCATTACTTCATTCCCACCATAGTACAGCTTCACTGGTCTTCCTTCCTCACCAAAATGGAAAGGCGGAAAGTTTTTCTTTCTTTTTTTAGAACGCAGGCCTCGGGCGCCCGTTTCCGAATTGGTCGACGTCGCCATTACCGCGCGTTGCATTATGGGACGTTTCCCTCCATAACGTTGCGAGGGTAAAATTTTCCCGCTAAATTTACCGGGGAAATTTTCGGTTAATTGAGCCGGAAATCTAGCAAAAATTTACCGCTAATTGGGAGGGGAGAATGCCCTCCTCCTCCTCCTCCTCGAGCTGCGCTCGAATTCAGCATTACAGAAAATTGTAAACATTTTCTTTTTTTTTTAGTAGCACAAAACGTTTTATTTACTTTTCTTTTTACAATTGCGGGGTCTCCAACCGCTTCAGTCTCTCGCCTGCCGTTGTCTTGTTTGTGTTGTAACCGACTAGGGAAACATCTGGCCTTGCCTTTTCTGCAGTCAGGGCACAAAGGATAGGTAAATGTAATTCCTCCCGCACATACTTCATGACCCAAGGCAACAGACACAAAGGTGCAAGCATCTATTTGGCATAAAGTCTGCAATAACCCCACCACCTTTAACGGCACAGGTCTCATCTCAAGACTGGCAACCAATAACCAGGCTTGGACCGCGACAGTTTGGTTTCAGTTGTACTCTTTCTTGCATTACGGGACTTATTTTTGAGAATGTATAGAAAATAACAAGACAAAAATATACTTTCCCCGTTTGTCTCCAAAGCAGCTGTCCATAGTCCAGACTGTGGGTTTCTATGTTAATGAGGCAGAATAGCATAGCGACCGATCCCCCAAAATTTCGTCCATATTCTGGGGTATCCACATTAACCAGACATGACTCTAGAAACCTATTGTCGTAAATGTGTGCAACAATTGTTGCATTTTCCTAGCTTTGTCCACATTGCTCTGTATGTATTTGCATTCCTCTTAAATCGGAATCCCTTTTAGTCAATTTGATACATTGCTCATACTTATGAATATATTGGCAGCAATGTGAACGCTGCACTGTTAAAACCACACGCGAGCAAAGGCCTCGCCCTGCTACATTTCAACAGAATCTGAGGAATTTGTGCCAATGCTGTCCCAAAAGTCCTTTCCCAAAGGTTCTGCCCTGCTACAGTGACGGATCATCCTTGTAGACTTGTGCAAAGTTAGGAAAGCATTGATTATCATTTCGAGTGACATACTACTCACTTCTACGTTTGTATCAAACACTGGCACTGCTTCAAAGCTTTGCAATATTTTTAATTGTTTGATATATTTCTCAGGGGCTAGTTAGCTTAGTGGAGTGTACTTCTCACCGAGCACTGTGTACAAGTGCCACTCGCACAGGGGACATGCATGGCTCTGAGTTGAGCTTTGCCCTCCTTCAGAGCAGGGTAGTGCGGGCAGGCAAACTACCAAAATAGTTATCTTCTTCAAATGCTTGGCTTGCAGAGGTAGCCGATGCGAGTTGAGAATGAGCTAAAAGGTTGCGAGGGAATACTTTGTAGGATGGCGGCTTCCGTGATATACAGAGCCACTCCACATACGACGGTGTAACATACAATCGTCACACCCACCATATGTGCCTTCACGCTGTAGCGTTTGCGCATTGCTGGATGCATCCAGCTTCACCGCTTTGCATTGGTACGCTTAAGAGAAGCTTCGCTGGTTTGCCTACTACCATAGCCTCCTCTATACTCGCAAAGCCTGGCAGTTCGACAACGGAGCCATAGAGTGTATGGTCACAGATTTAGAGCACGAGGATCTGGTAGCAGAGAACATTTCTCGGGGAATCTGGTATTCAGCGCACAGTTTCTGCAGCGGCAAGGACCCGAAACATGGTTTTCAAACCGGACGAGAAAAGAAGCGGTAATGCGAGGAGCACGAGCGGACATTCCTTGTAATCTTGATAGTAAGCGATTCCATAGGCTTCGTATAATTCCCGCTCAAACTTCAGGTAAGTACCATTCGTCAGAACTGGTAATTTCATCGCTCGGGAGGTGCGGTTCGACATCTCCCCGCAGCGGGGAGATGTCGAATCGGGGCGCAGCGACCGCAGCGACGCTTGTGTTCGCTCTCGGGGCTAATAGAGGTCGAAGTCGTTTCGCATCACTGGTCAGACAGACAGGATGCCAGGGAAGGGACTGCGGTTAATCCTTGATGGAACATTTTTTGAACCCATTGAAGACTCTTCGTCCGGAACCACTACCTTCAGGGCTAAGTGCAAAGCCTGCGGGAAATTAATTTCGGAACAAAAGAACTTCCACTTCAAACTTAAAGCCTGATCTCAGTTGGTAACTCAAAGAAATTTTAAATAATGTACTGCATCATAAGTATTTATATTTCATGTCCTCCCTAAAATGTATTCCTGTAACTGTTTTTCCAGACTTTCTGCCCCTTTTTAAAATGTATTTCCGATAGATATCGCGATACACTTTCACAGATATGTTTCAGTGTCAGTATTTTAGCAACTGTTTTCATATATCCCCATTATCTGTATTTCCAAATACATTTTTGAATATTTCTGCCCAAACCTGCAACGCAATGCAGCTGTAAGGTGACATATTTTTACGTTTAGAAATTAGAGGAATGGAATGGAACAATTCAGCCATTCCAGGAGCGGGAATGGGCCCAGTGTCCCCACTCCTAGGAGTTGAATGGAATGGAATTATTGAAAACGCCAATTCCGCGGAATGGAATTGGAATGGAATGGGGGTACCCACTCCGCAACACTGGTACGCACCGGGAATCTAGCACCGGTATTTACGTGTCGGAACGCTTAGACGCCTGTCACCTGTCGTACCTGAGTAACTGAAAAAGAACAGTGATCATATTCAATTCGTCCGCGTCCTAATAGGCGCCTGACTCGGTAATAACGTATCAGCCTAGTAGCGATAAGCGAAATCCGAGCACTCACCAATGGCCGCACTTTCACTAGCCGTATCGAGGTAAGAGATCTTCGCTATCTTCAGTTTCAATTTAACATTTTGAATAACGATGTTCCTCGCACACGATGCAGAAGCTGTCTCGAGCTCCGAGGCCTGTACGCGTGGAACGCCCAACCATTCGGCATCTTGTGACTGTGGTTCCATACCACGGCGTAGATTTTAGTTTATAACGCCGACACACATGTATGTGTTACATGCTTACTGCATTCGCGGGACACCGGTCTACTTACCCATCTCTCAGTGTTGTAGGCGCGACGACGAAGATCACAACAGGGAAAGGCATCACCAGAACTTAGAACGCAAGAATAAAAGCCAAGCGGAACCGTTACAACATGGCGCCGGGATATTTGTAAACATACTCTCGTTACCGTGCGCTGGCTCCCCGCTTCAAAACAAAAATGTGTTTAGCATATTTCAAATCATTTTCGCCACGAAAATAGCTTGATCACTTAAATGTATATATTCACATTTTTCTTTAAATGAAATTGAGAGCTTAATGACTTCGCAATGAAGCACACACTTTCTCGCACAACAGCAAAGCTTTGCTTCACCGAAAAACACCGCTGTCTTGCAGGGAAAGGTGCTTGCCGGCATTTGCACCGGTAAAAATGTCCTGTCCAAACGGCCCTTACGAAATTACAGTACATATGCACTGTTAAGGTACTGGCTGTGGGGATGACTTGTCTGTGGCCAGGAAAGCACGCAGGGTCAGTAGAAAATGATTATTATGGGATAAACATAATGGACACAAGGATGAAGCACAGGACAACAGATGACCTGCAAGTGTAGTTTATTTTATGAAAAGGAAGCATTTTAATTTTATTGCATAAACACAAACACGCATGCCAACCAGGCAGCTGGCAATCACAGGGATAGAGCCTTACAATGTGGCAGTGCTAAACTCCAATGTATGCATTTTTTTTCTCGCTTTGTTTTGTAACGGAGGCTCTCTTCTATCATCATTACTTTCACTCTTACCAACTAGCCCAATCTACCACCCTACTTCAGCTCATTTTGGGGGGCTAGTCATACTTAAACAAACTGCAATGGCAAGATGAATGCTAGCGAGTCCATTTCATTGCCACAAAATTGACGGTGTTGTCTCATATGGTAACAACAATGCACGCTCATATATGGACTGCGTGAGACCATCAAAGTGTGGGCGGTTACTCTACTTGATATCTGGGGACTGAACACAACTGCCTCAAGCTACTCTTAGAGAGAACCATAGCGGTGGTCAAGGAACCAATACAGCAACACCAGCCGCGATTACCTATGATATATAGGTCTTCCATTCCCTTTGTAACAATATAGAGGATACCAGATTTTGGGTCAGTACTTGTATTTCAGCATCGAAATACACATAAAAATATATTCCTGGTCTCACAATACATTCAAGGGAATAATGTATCCCGTTACATTTTCAA